GAGCATCCTTCTCCCAGGGGGAGAGAGAAAGAGTCCTTTTCCCTGTCTCTGGCAATGACCTGAGGTGGGATCAGATATAATGACAGGGGCATGGCCAGACCCTCATGTTCTTCCATCCCATCTCACGTCAGTCCCAGGGGCAGAGAAAGGGTCAGGTGTCTTCCTAACATGGATCATTGGGAATGTGGGTCACCAGGGCTCTTCCCAATCTGGGTCCTACGATGGAGGATGAAGTTGGAGCAGCGGATGTGAAGCATTTTATGCAGTCGGGGCACTCACAGGGCATCCCTTAGTGGTGTCTCTGTTGGTGTTGGATCAAGTGAGAGCTACAGTAGAAGCTCTCCCCACACTGGGAACACTCGTAGGGTCTCTCCCCAGTGTGGATGCGCTGGTGCCTGATGAGGTGGGAGTTTTGCTTGAAGCCCTTCCCGCATTCGAGGCAGCGGAAGGGCCTCTCATTCGTGTGAATCCGCTGGTGCAGGAGGAGATTGGAGCTGGTCTGAAACCTCTTCCCACACTGAGAACACTCGTAGGGTCTCTCCCCAGTGTGGATTCGCTGGTGGCGGATCAGGTTGGAGCTCTCCCTGAAGGTCTTCCCACATTCCCCACACTCGTAGGGCCTCTCCCCAGTGTGGGTGCGCTGGTGCGTTATCAGGTGGGACTTCTCTCTGAACCTCTTTCCACATTCCCCACACTCGTAGGGCTGTTCCCCAGTGTGGGTCCGCTGGTGGCGGATCAGGGTGAAGCGCCACCTGAAGCTCTTCCCACACTCCAAGCACCTGTAGGGTTTCTCCCTGCCGTGAAGCTGCTCAAGGACCCTGAGCTCCAAGCCCCGGTGTAAGCTCTCAGTGCCTTCCTGGTGCAGGGTGGGTCTTTCCCCCTCAGAGAACCCTGGGTTTGGCATGCTGCTCATCTTCATGTGGGATCTCTGGAAGTTTTCCGCCTCGTTGGATTCCTGTGCCATGGAGACACTGAAAACAGCCTCTTCCATGAGGTTCTGCAGGGGGTCTGTGTTCTCCCTGCTCTCCGTCCTCAGCTCATTTTCTGGGGCAGGAAGTACAAGGAGAGGATGGGATTCGCCTCCGTGCCAGAGGGAAGAGGAGGGAAATCCGCTCCAATCCATCCCCAGCAGGAGGGTGTCGGCAGCGGGGTTGTCCTGCAGCCAGGGWTCATGCTGCTCTTGGAGGAGAAGAGAGGGGTAAAGGGCAGTGACTTCCTCCTCACCTGCCTGGGGGTACTGGAACATCTTCCTCTTTGTCACAGCCTCCTCCTTTATCCAGCCAAGGTTTGGGAATGAGAAATCCTGGTTTAGGGGGAAAACAAGGTGTGAGCAGGTTGGTTTGGGGGCTGCTCCTGTCCAAGCCTGTC